TGCTGCCTTGGAGCCCAGTAAATGCATTGCTGCTGCTGCTGCTGCTGCTGCTTTGGTATAAATTTTTCAACTAATAACCGGTAGTACTGAGTAGTTCTGCTGTGTATAAATATCCTCTATGCAGCTGGAGTGGAATGGGCTTTGGAGGACAGGACATGACAGCAGAGGCTGCAGGAACAGGTACAGGGTTCTTGAGGCTACAAACACCTCAGCAGTGGTCGCTGGTCGTCAAAGGGATGGGATTTGGGGGTAGGGTAAAACCAGCCTTAAACAAAGAGAACAAAAACAAGCCTCTGGCAGAAGAAAATCACAGTTACAGCAATTCAGGTGTAATGTGGGGTTGGTTACAAACCAAGGAAGGATGAGCATGTTTGCAAAGGCGCTCCTCCTGGCAAAGGCTGAGGCTGCTGCCTTGTGCTATGACACCCCACACCCTCCTCCACTCTGAAAGCCCCAGAGAGGCAGTGGAAGGTGAGCAGGACCTCCAGGAAAAGGGGAGCACAAGTATGTCTGTGAGCACTGATTTTTACTGTATGTAACACTTCTGGTGTGTTAACTTCTAATGGTCATTTGAAGTAAGTAAACCTAATTCTTTAGTTCTGTGCTTAATATGTTAATGAAACTACCAATAAATTCATGGATTTGTATAAAAACATGTTTCCTTTCATCTGCAACAAAGTGTTAAGTGTATGGAATTGGTAGGAATACAAGGAACTTAGTTCCTAACTTGCATGCAAACGAGTTGGTAGAAATTTGAGGGTGGGAGTGCTGTGATATAAAAAAACCAAAACTCTGTGAAGGACACACAGCCAAGGTGTGCAGGTAGTTCTTAGGGTCTAAAAACCCCTGGCCATACAGCTGGGTCCCTGCCAAAGCTCCAGAGTGAACAAGTGTCTGGGCTTTAAAACCAGAACTTGCCTTTGCTGAAGCCCCCTGAGACCCTCTGCCCATCCTGCACAGCCTCAGGTGGCCTCAGGTGCTGCAGACAGGGGGGTGACAGCAGGTCGGGGCGCAGAGGTCCATGCATGAGTGAGGAGTGGCCCTGGTGTGTCCCCAGTTCCCCTCCCCAGTGAGTCTGGGGTGGGCAGAAGCTCTGGGGGAGGTGGCCAGGGATGAGCAGAGGGATCTGGATGGGTGGAGGGTGGCAGTGTGCTTGGGGAGAGGGATGCTGAGCAGGTGTGAGGGGCTGCACCCGCTGGCAGTGGTGGCTCTGGGTGGGTGATGAGGTGCCAGGGCTGCACAAGAGGAACCTGAGGGGCCCTGAGGACTGGGCTGGGGGTGCTGGTGGTGTGGAGGTGGCACTGGGGTGCAGCTGTGAATGTCCTGGGGGTGCTGCTGTGAATGTCACAGGGTGAGGGGGTGGTGGAATGCACTCCAGTTGTGGCACCGGGCTCTGGGGCTTTTGGTCCCCTCCATGTGCAGGGTTCTGTGATGGGCACATGTAAGTTCCTACTTATGCTGCCACCTCATCCCACCCCACCAGGGCAGAAGGGCTGAGAAACAGGTATTGTTTCCCCATGTCACTGGGGAGAGAAACTGTGCTTTAACCACAGTCTATCTTGACCTGGGAGCTGGTGGAGAGATGCTGTGGATGTGTCAGTGCCTGTTGTGGAGGAAACATTGGATGGAAACACTGAGCTCACATTTTAAAAACCTCATACAGGCATGAAAAATGTTAATTTGACAATTGGAACTTTTTTTTTTTGCTTTGTATTTCCTCTATTTTTCAGGAATGAAGGCCCAGAGAGAGTGGGACATCACTGGGATCGTTCAGCTTGGTATTGAGAGGAAGGAAAATCCCAGAACCCTAAATTCCTTGGGACAACCTGTGTGGGAAAATCACCTACACATGGAAGACTGAGTATGAACTGACCCAAGGCAACGCGAGGAGAGAGCTTGTCCCATCCCAGTGTGCTTTCCCAGGAGGCTGCTCTGGTGGGGCTGGAGAGCCACTGGCTGGGGCAGAGCTGGGCTGAGCTCTTCTCCATGCAGGATTTGCTGCTGGGATTGTTTGGAGATTGGAAGGAGACCTCAGGAGACCCTCTGATCCCTCCCTCTGCCCGCAGCAGGTCCCTGGTCTGGACTCAGCTGCCCCAGAAGCGCTGCTCCAAACTTTGGCACCTGATAGGTATCTTTCCTGCACTTCAGAGCTGTGACTCCCTGGACCCCTCACTCTGCTTTTTGCCTTTTACAAGGGGGCACTGGCAGCACAGGCTCCCTGCTGCTCTGCTGCAGGTGCAGCAGCACAGGCAGGCTCTCCTCAGCAGGGCAGGGGAGTGCTCCAGTGCATCACTATTCCTGGAACAATCCTAGGCTGTCTTGTCTCATTCTCTGAGTAACTGTGACCTGGCTCAGCCCAGGCAGTTTATCACAGCACAGCTGGCTGCAGGATGTGTGTTAAAGCTTAAAAGATGTTCGTAGGAACATAGGTTATTTGTTCATCTACATCTTTTCATATTCACTTGAGCCATATCTCAGGACCATTCCAGCTTCAGCCTACCTGTGCCCCACCTGGGTAGTCCCTCCCTGCACACAGGTGGGCAAATACCTGGGGAATCTTTTCCAATCAAAGGAAAATGCGATGGATCTGGAATAGACGCAGGGGTAGCAGGGGGAAGGAGCCAAGGTCCTCCTGGGGAGAAGGAGCCAAGGTCCCAGCCTGCTCTGCCTGAGGGCAGCAGGATGTTTGACTGCGAGCCCAGTGCTGGCAGAAATGCCAAGGGGCTTGGGCAGGGTGCCAACCACTGCCTTTGAAGGGGACCCTGACCAGAGAAGTGGGGTCTGCAGGAGAACAAAGCAAAATCAGAGCCAACAGAAGAAAGAACCAGCAGAAACAAGAGATTCCGGCTGGTGTGTTCAGGAATCTTCCAGGAGAAACCACAGCTGTGAAATACTTCTGCCCTTGAAGGACTGTATCTGTCCCAGGGCATGGAGCTGGCACCAGATGGTGGCAGCTGGGATGGCTGTGGCTGTCCCAGTGGTGAAATCAAACAGCAAACGGCAAGTAGACAGAGTGGCAAGACAAGGGTTTTAATAATGAAAGTGTTGCTGGTAACATAGGTAAGGAAATGTGCTTGCTTACAGGTTTGAAGCTGACAGCATCCCTTTAAATAAGGAAATACATTTGCTGAGAGGAGAAAGTTACCTGGAGAGCCCTGTACAAGGCTGCAGTGGAGCAGCTAACACTACTCTGGGTCAAGTGCTCTGAATATTCTCCACAGACTGGCTTCTAAAAATCTCTCACTTAGAAAAAGAAATTCTTTTTAAAAAAAGGCAACCTGTGATTGTCTATCCTAGCAGTGCCCTGTGACATTTGTACAGTAGAAAAGTGGTGCTTTAAATAGTGACTTGAAAGCTACTGCCACGTGCTTTATACAGCATGCAACAACACCATGGACTGGGGACCCCACCGGGGCTGCAGAGCCACCTCCGACAGCTCCAGCATCCCTGGGGAAGTGCCACGGGAGCCATGGCCAGGCTGAACCTCCTCCCAGTGGCTGCATCTCCGTGTGCTGTCCTTCCAGTAACACAAATATTAAATACACTCAGTCTGTAAATAGTTTAACAATCTTTGTCAGCAACAATATTTACTTAGGCAAAACCAGAATTGCAAAGAACAGACGTGTCCGTCACACAGTCTGCAGCAAGTTCTTTGGTGGAAGCGAAGAAGTGAAGCAAAGGCTCCTTCTTGCTAGAGCCTGAGGAAGAATATTGCACAGAGACTCATAGGAGACATGCTGGTGATTCCAAATGGGAGCATCACTGCGGGAGAGCTTCCTTCTCTGCCGGCTTTGGGAGAACAGGCTCCTCCAGGCTCGGTGATTCACAGCTGTTCTCCGGTAGCCTTGCTCCGGGCTGGGGGAGCAGTGACACTCGAGTAAACTCGGGAAGAAGGGGATGACTGCTGAGGACTGAGGAATAGGCAGAAGGATGGAGGGTAGATGGCAGAGGAGGGGAGGCAGCACAAGCAGAGGCTCACACAGACCCACAGCCCTGCTCCATGTGCCGGTCACTGAGTGTCCCTGTCTGGCTCCCCTTGCTCCTGGATCAGGTGGGGAATGAAGATCACCCTGACCTGGCTGTGCACAGAACAGCCCCTCCAAAGCCCAGCTGGTTCTTTCATACCATTTGCTCCTACCTTGGACCAAAATACATCACACATGTCTGTGTGTCCCATGGATGTGGCACACAGCTGTTCCACCGGGATGGCACATCCCTGTGATACCTGCACCCGCCTCCTGAACACCTGCCTCCAACCTCCACAGCTCTCTGCTCCAAGGTCACAGCCTGATCCAGTTCAGACTGCAGCCACGATGGCTCCTGGGCTTTTTGCCCCTCAGCACATGCCAAGGTGCCACCATGAACATGGTGGTCTCCATCTCTCACTCCCCTGGAGCAGAGCTGGGCAAGGACTGGGCACTGCGGCTTCAGGGCAGGAGGGAAGCAGGAGCCAAGGCAAGAGACAAGGCTGTGCAGAGCCTCCTGCTCCACAGCCATGGCCTGGGCACAGCCAAGGTGAGGCCAGCAGGGTTGTCTGAAGAGCCTGGATAGAAAGGGAGAAGGAGAGGGAGAGGGAGAGGGAGAGGGAGAGGGAGAGG